CCCTACATGCCGCTCGTGCTCAAGTTCAGCAACCCAGGGGCCAACACGCCGCACGGCGCAGTGGCTAGTTCCATTTCACTGCGGCACAGCTCGCGTTACAAAACCTTGATTTTGACCATTTGCGCCATTTTGTCCCTCTCGGTGCCTTCCAGAGGAAGCTGCGACCCCGCCGAGTAGACGGGCGCGCACAGCAGGGGGCGCGGGGCGCGCCCGCCCACTCGGCGGGGCCGCAGCTGCGGCTGTGCGTCCTGGGGAGGTACATTTGTCGCCCGCCGAAGGCGACTCGACGCCGCTGAGATCGGAGATCAAGCTCTGACAGGTCGCACGTCGCTCCTTTGACGCCGATGTGACTCACCCGTGCAGATCACATCAGGACACGGGGGTCTCGACGCGCTCGGCACGACGCCTGCGACCCGTCTCGGGTCAGGTGGCACGACGCTCATCGCGCCCGCCAGCGCTGCCATGCAGGCTGCCACGACGAGGTCGAGCACGGTTCTATACACTCGCCGAGCCTTCCTTTCCATCCCATTAGGCAGCCTGGGAACGGTGGCGGTCAGAGGCAAAGCCTGCGAGGGGTGGTGGAACCACATGTATGATGTAACTTATTCCGGGGCCGGTGTGCGGGGAGCGAACCTTAGCGACCGCCCAGAAGCTTTCTGAGCGACCCAATCGGGCCGGGATCATCAGCATATGTCCCCTCCACAACATCGTGGGCGTTTGAGCGGTATTTGAGGACCACCGCCACTCTGAAGTTCGGCCGGGTACACACACGAGGTGGTGGGGCAAGGGGGGGCAACCCTCGCGTCTCCACGTCTAACGACAGGAGCCCCACGGCAGGTCAAAGTGCAAGGCCCGTTGCGCGTGGGTGAGCGGTGTGTGTGTGTGTGTGTGTGTGTGTGTGTGTGTGTGTGTGTGTGTGTGTGTGTGTGTGTGTGTGTGTGTGTGTGTTAGCATAGAGAGCCACACGCATACACTGTAGACGAAAAGCAAAAAATCACAGGCCCCAAGTGCCCCAAATGATGTGTGAGTGTCAGAGTTGTTTGGTATTGCTAAAACATCTCTCTCCGAAGGCGCAAGGGCGGCGGCCCCGAACGCGAAAAGTCGTTAGTGCTGTCTCTCTCTGCATGCATGCACCTGGTATGCACATGGACATGAACATGCACATCACAGACTGGACGCTGCATGCTTCACTTCAACTAAGCACTCGAGCCCGACACGGAAGCCTCTCGTCATGCACTCGACGACTCGACGAGCTTCACAAAAGTTCGGGCCAGCAGTTTCAGGGCGCCGGCTCGTCCCCACGCCGCAGTGCACGACACCGCGGGTGACTAGTACCGGCAGTACCCCTCAGAGTCGATTTCACCCGTCTGGCCCTCGTTTGGCGTGCACGGGTGATTGTCGAAAGCGGAGCCGTATGTGCACGGCCAGCAAGACATACCCGCCTTGTCGCAGTCGCCGCCCCATTGGCTCGTCGGCGCGTAGTGGCTTTCGCATGTGGAGGAGGAGTCCGTGTCGTAATGGCCGCAGTCCCCATGCTTCGCGCACTTTTTTTCCTTGCTGCCTGGTGGGACAGGCGCAAATGTGCTCGCGCGTCCAGTTGGGAGCTCATCATGGCCCTCGCTCTCAGCTGGTGCGTCAGGTTGAGGGGAGAGGGCAGCGACGGTGCTGGCAGCGAGGACGAAAACTGCGACACTCACCACGCGGATCATCGAATGGCCAGTGCCCCTTGGGCTGATACGCGCTGCGATGGTCAGTGCCCCGTGGGCTGCCCTTTGGCTGAGCCGCGCTGCGAGATGCGACGCACAAGCGCTTCGAGGAGCGGCCGGCGTTTCTGAAGGCGTTTTCTCCGTGAAACAACATCCGTTGAGTCACTATCTAGATACGTGCCTCCCCGTCTTTGTAGCCTGGCGTTTGTGCCCCGTTTGTGCCGCGGTTCATTTTACAAAACAACATCCCGCGGAAGATTCTTCTCGTGCTCCCCCTCTTCTCGCACTCTCTCTTTTGCGACATGCCAGCTCCCCAGCGGCTCAGCGCTCGACCTCCCCTTCGCCCTTCCATGAACCTTGGCCCACCCAGGTAAGGCGGGTGTATGGAGTCTCAAACCCCTACAATCTCGGGAAAAGAGGAATGAGGGGGGGG